AAACACATCCACCCTCCAAACCTGCAACATTCAGATATCAGGCAACTGACAGGTGTAATTGAGCTCAGCTGGAACCTCATCAAGGGACGCTCCACTCGCTACTCTATATAAAGGCGTTGCCACATCACACATGTGTGAGATACCATGGCTGCTTTACAGCATATTCTTGCTGCTAACCAACAGCGTTGCTGTGTGCGAAGCCAAACCGTATATGTAAATGTAGCCCACTCGACGTGCTGTCAGACCGGCTGTCCAAATGAAGTACCGGCTGAGATACAACACCTCATCAACTAGTGTCTCCACACATCCGGAGGGCAACCCGGTGCAATTTTGCCCTCAGCCCGGAGGTGCAGTGCCTGGCTGCGCTGCGTTTTTACGCAGTGGGGAGCTTCCTGGAGGTGGTGGGAAACGGCACCGGCCTCAGCAAGGCGTCTGTGTTTTTTGTTTAAATATAATACATTTCTTCATTCTCTTACCAAGACTACTACTTATTTAGTTGTAGTCTTGTTTTCATCATGAAAATAGGTCATTAACAAATATTTATCGGCTTAGTTTTTCATTAGAATTATTAGAACCCACACATACAGACAAGCAGCAGGGAACTGGTGCGTTAGGTAGCAGCGCTGTGTGTGATTTATGTGCTGATTAAGTGGTAGGTGATCGATTTGCCTGACATCGATTGATTTAGTTTCAGCACCGCGGTAGTGACCAGCTTCTGTTAAGAGCTTCTTAAAGAGCGATCCTAAGAAGGGCATTAAGAACGCATCTGGGAAACACTCTTATCTTAGCTACCCTTCTTACCAAAGACAATCTTAACTGTGCTCTTAACTCTTAAGATCGCTCTTAACTGGGAAAGGCGGCCAATGTTGGTTGTAGCTGTAGGTTAGTAGCTCACTAACCTACATGAGAACAGCTTTGTTAGATGGCGTATTTTCCACTTCCTCCTTCCAGTTTAGCTTTGCTTCTGTCGCATCATGTTGGGGTTACATTAATTACCAGTTTCCAACTTGTGAATATTTTTCACATTAACAACAAGGCGATTACGACTGGGAAACTGTGTTGTTTTCTTCACCTGAAAGCTCTCAGAAATGCCTGAAAAAGCAAATCAGTATGAATGCTAATGTCAGCCAAAGTCCATTGTTAAGGACATTAAATGTGAATTAAGTGATAAAACAATTATATTAACCTTTATTTGTGTAGCACACAATGCAGATTCAAAGTGCTTTACAGTAAGAACTACTAAACTACTAAAAACTTAAACAGATAAAACTAAATCAAAACTTTTCTATGTGTGTATGAAATGCCTAAATGCCACTAAATTCTACACACTAAACATCTGTGCCATCTGTTGCAGGAGAAGGACTTCATATCAGCTATGTGATCGGTGGAGTTCTGACCATCCTGGCTATTCTGATCCTCATCGCTGCTTTGATAATTTACAGGTAAGTCCCCTCTTTTACACTTCTTCATTTCCTTACTCTCTGGTCTTAAACAGAGGATATGACACATTACATTTCATACACAGCAGATGGTGTATTAATGAAGCTATGTGCTCCTTTTGTCCTGTTTTGGACCGACAGACATAAAAAGTCAAAGTTTGCCGACCCTGGAGTGAGCAACCTGACCTACAGCAATCCCTCATACCGGACATCCACACAAGAGGTCAAGATCGAGGCGTCGCAAAAGCCTCCAATATACAACCAGCTTCGATATAAGAAAGAGGTAAGGAACAGTCTGGACACAGAAGTGAAAATTACATTTTCTGTTTAATATATGAATGGATTAAAGGTGAATCCATGATGAGTCCATAGAATGATGATCACAGGCTATGGAGGTGTACGGTGGGTAACCACGGAGACAAATGACGTCACTGTTTGTCTGATTGATTGTGTTGAAATATTGTAACATGTGACACAAGCAGGTCACGGGCACCAGCGCTCATCTGTTCTTCCCCCTCTCTCTCTCCTCACTACAGCTCTCTCATCCCTACAACTCCCTCTCTCCCTTTATCTTTTGACCCACTTGTCCCGTGGAGAGGTAGTTACACAGCATGGAGGAGTTGTGTCCTCTGCCGCTTCTCTGTTTTCCTTCACTTCTTCTGTCCGTCACTGCATGCAACCTGCTATTCAAAACTATTTCTCTCTTTGGTGCAGTTTCAGAGCTCTGCGATCAGAAGCATGTCAGTGTTTATAACTACTTATGGGGTTTGTGTGAAACTGACATTTCAGCAGGCCGAGAATCAAAGTGTGATGTGCTACATGTAAATATCATTATGTCATTCTCAAATCAATGATGAAGCCTTGAAAAAAATATTAACAACTAACAGTGCAGGCAGTTGGTAGGCTCCATGTCAGAACTGTGCAATACTGGGGTCACGGGTCACGTAGCTGCTCCAGCTGCAGGTATATGACTTGCATTTCCTGGTTGCAACGACAGCGCAGAGACACTAAAGCCACGTTTCCACCAAGCAGTACATTATGGTACAGTTCAGTTCAGTTCAGTTCAGTTCAGTTTGGTACACATTTTTTTCTGTTTCCACAGTGAAAAGTTGTGGATGGTACCAATGGAACTGTTCCTTACCGTCCCCATGTTTGGTCCCCCCTCTGTTGGGGTGCCGAGCACACAGATCTGGTACTTAAAGGTGGAGCTGTGAACACTGCAGTCTGATTGGTCAGTAGAGGACGGTCACTCTGCTCAGGGCTGAGTTGTGGCTGGTTTTGAGGCTCATGTAA